TTTTACAGAAGAGGAAACTGACGCCACTCCAGTCCTGAGCCAGCACTAGACTCTTCTGCCAGTACCAGTCTGAATCACACAAGCCCAAGTCCCCCTAAAACTGCACCTGGAATTTCACACACGCGGATGGCGCAAAACTGCGATTCAAGGCTCAACAGGAACTGTCTTAACTTCGTAACTTTGACAACTATCTTCCTGACCTTTGGGGCATTCCCACATTAGCAGGGCTGAAGCCATGCCCCTCACAAGCGGCTGTCTCCTGCCTGTTTCCATCCCTCCTCTTCTGTGCCTGCCTCACACGCTCTCACCTAACCAACACCAGAAATGTTAAGTGAGGGGGACATCGTCGGGGTGGCTCTGTGCCTGCTCGCTGTCTATCACACATGGTTCTGTACACTGGCAATGATCAATATCTGATGGTAAAGGAGCAGAGACACCTCTGTGCCCCTGGGAAGCATTTCTGTAGTTACTGAGAACAATTTAATGAATGAAATTAATTATTTATTAATTAATCAATCTGGGGAGTCACATCTGGGCATCTAGGGAGTCACAGAGCAAGTGGAGAGAAAGAGAAGGGCATTTGGCTCATCAGAGGCTGGGGGCCAGGAGACCGGAAACTGCCGTGCAGAGAGCCACGGGTGTGATGGCATCTTGGCTGCAGAAGGAACGAGCCTCAAAAGAGGCGGCCAGCTGTGTCAGTGGGCCAGGGAGCCTCGAAGGACATTGCACTGGCTGGAGGAGAAAGCAGAGGGAACTGGAGTGTGGGCACGCATTTCAGGAGGCGTTGGTCAGAGAGGCCGGGGGTGAGTGCCTGAGAACCTAGGGCTTACCCTTAAGGGGGATGTGCACCCCCTCGCTGCACCGGGGGCCAAAGCCATTGTCCGCTGAGCAGTGGTAGCTCCCAGAACGCTCTGTGGTCAGAGGGAGCCTGAAGGGCATTGCTCTCTGTGAAGAGCCTTCTTCCTTCTTGAGAGGTGCTCCTTCATGGTACAGCTGATAAGTGATCGGGAACGAACCTCTCTGGACTTCACAGTGAAGGGTCGCCACTTCTCCCTCAGCAGCCTGGGCCCCAGGAGGGCTGAGGGTGAGGACGGGCTGAGACACAGGGACTGAGGGAGAGAAAACAACAATCAACAGCTGCTTCTGCCGCTTCCTGTACGTTCCGTCAGTTGCCAGTGAAATGCCCAGTCTCAACCGCACCAGCCTTCGGGGCACCCAGCGGCCTCCGGTGGCTCTCACCAGCTCTCTCCCGTCCTGCTGGCTGGGCTTCTCCAGTCTCTTCCTTTCCTGTTAGACGTCTGGCCCCTCTCCCTCCTGTCTCATCTCCTGGACCTCAGAGCAGTTTTCCAGTGGAAATGACACCCTCAGGGAAGAAGTCCTTATTTTGCCCCCGCCAGACCCGCACCCTTATCTTGTTCCTCCTTCTGCCTATGACCATGGAAGAGCTGTTTCCCTACCCACCCAAGTCATTCTGAGTCTCCTGTCCATCCCTGCTCCACATTTTCCCTTTTACTGGGGTTGGCCTCTGAGCTCTGTCCTCTGCCCCTTCCCTTCCAGAGTCACATACTCTTCCAGGACTGTCTCCTGTGTTCCTACACGCTCCCTGTGTCCAACCTGACCCTCTATTTGTGTCAGGAGGAGTCGGGAGGAGCCCTGGAGGCCAGCTACTGGCCGCTCAGCAGGCTCTTCCCAGGGCTGGCCAGGACCAGGGTGTGTCTCCTGCTCCTGATCCAGTGCTGAATCACATTGTGTCCTTACACGTGGGCTGGAGCAGAGGGGCTGGCACAGGAGTCCACAGAGGCATTTCGTCTCTCTCCACCCCAGCTGCAGTCAAGGGCAAGACAGCAGCAGGTACTGACGAAGGGTGTGACATGACCCGGGCTTTTCCTCACCCCCACATACACCTTCAGATGGCTATGGTGTTGCTACCTGCCTCTGTATCGTATGTGGATTTGCCTGTTGGCTATTGTCAATAATTAATTGTTAATTTGGACAACAGGTAACTGTATCTCTGGGAAAGAACAATGATTTGGGAGCTACTGAGAATAATAGATTGATTAGGGACTCAAACATCTGGGTATCCAGAGAATAAAAGAAGAAAGAGAAAATATTGAGTTCTGCAGAAGCTGGGGAACAGGAGAAAGAGAGAAAGAGAGGCACTGAGAATACATTCAGGGGTGTGATGGTAGCTGGGCTGGTCAAACAATGAGGCCCACAAGAGACAGACACTTATTCAAAGCTCTGGGAGCCGATGGGAATATGTATTTGGTGTTATGGACTGAATTGTGTCCTTGCCGAAAATGTGTATGTTGAAGCCCTAGCCCCCAACATGATTGTTTTTGGAGACAAGATCTTTAAGGAGACAATTAAGATTAAATGAAGTTATAGGATGAGAACATAATATGATAAGACTGGTGTCTTGGAAGAAGAGGAATAGACCCCAGAGATCTTTCTCTCTAAAATCACACAGAGGAAAGACCATGTGAACCCGCAGAGAGAAGGTCTCCACTGAGAGCCGGAGGAGAGCCGTCACCAGACACCAGTCCTACTGGCACTTTGATCTTTGACTTCCATCCTCCAGGACTGTGAGAAAATAAGTTTCTGTTGTTTAAGCCACCCAGCAGGTGGTAGTTTGTTAAGGCGGCCTGAGCTGACTAGCACAGATGACTAGAGGAAAAGGCAGGAAGCAGGTAAAAGGGCAAATTTGTGGGGTAGCAGTAAGGGACCAGAACTAGGAGTGGCTGGACTTTGGTTGGTTGACAGAAGAATAAATTCTTGATCTGCAGCTTTGCCTGGTTCTTTCTAGCCCCAGTCCCGGCAAATCTTAGAACCCACCGACACTTACTCTTCACATTTATCTGGAGTTCCTGGCTCATTTTCCCCGCTCTAAAAGTCACTCTCTTTGCCTGGCACCAATAAGACCCCGAGTCTCTGCTCCACACGGCAGTGATCTGGAATTCTGGGGAGTTGCTCCACCTTGACTCCAGGGTCTGGCCATCTCTGAAGAAGCGGAACCAGAGCTGGACATCTGACCGCTGCGGAGCAAGCTGGGTCTGACAGGTCAGGGTCAGAGGACCTCCTTCGGTGGGCCAGGAGGAGCTGGCTTTCAGCACAGGCTGTGGAAACAGCTCTAGAGAGAAAGAGGAGAACAATCCCCAGAGCATTAAGGCTTGGACCTGCTCGGGAGAAAGACACAGTTTATCCTCGGCAGCAGCAGGCAAAGCATGTCATATACAGGCAGGCAGAGAAAGGGACGCTGGTTTTGATTTCTAACATCCTGCCGCCCAAAGCACAGTTGTACTTTCTGTGTGCTTTGCAGGGACGCTCCCTGAGGTTCAATGGCATTCCAATCCACCTTTTCCTTCCTCTACCATCTCGGGAACCTTCCTTTGGGTTAACTCACTTCACAAATAATGTAGGCTTTACCTTGCACTTGGATTTTGACTGTGTTTGAAGAAACAGGGCTATCATCTTTTTTAACTCCAGTACAGTGATAGGCGCCATTGTCCTTCAGACTTGCGTGTGGAATGTACACGTCCGGGATCTTTCCAGAGATACGCATTGGTTTGCCGTTCTTGTGCAGACGTAAAGTTTCCAGTGCTGCCTCCCTCTTCGCTCGGCATTGCAGAAGCACAGGGTCGTCTTCAAACACAGCAAACGGAGCCCCCAGAATCAGGAGGGCTGCGGGAGACACACACTCAGCAACTTGTTTGATCCCCTTCATGCGCCCTTCTTTTCACTGTTATTCCAAGTAGATTTTACCAGCTTAAAAGATTCATAGATTCAGAAACCATGCACATGAATCATTTCTCAAGTTTCCTTTTACCTGAGAAACTCACAAAAAATACAAATGCCCAAATCCCAGCTCTATAGATTTTGATTCAATAAATAGAGTGTAGGTTCTCGATAACTGTCTGATTTCTGAAGTATTTTAAATTTCTTTTGCCTTTTCCTCACCTTGAGTAAAGAGCAAGGCCACGCGGCTGCTTAGGAGGGAGCCCTGGACTTGGCATCTGTATTCTCCAGGTTCTTGAACCTCGAGCGTGTTTCCTAGGGTTTCATGTAATTCTTTCCTCCTGCGGTGCTCTCTGTGCCATGTTGTTCTTCGTGATGTGCTTAAGTGAAATCCATTGCAAGTCAGAGTCACTTTCTCTCCCTTGAAGACCACAGTCCAGGGAGGATGGAGAGAAATCACGGATTTGGGGGGAGCTTCTGAGGAAGAAAGAGAAAAGGAGTCTGAGGTGGAGATGCCAGTAGTCCCCCCTACAGTGGTTTGCGTGGGACAGACTAGAAAATGTGGCTCGGGAGAACCCTTAGGGAAGCCCTGATTGCTCAAGGCTGCGTGTCAGCCTGAGCGCTCATCTTACCCAGGGGACGGTGATTGCTCGGGGGATGGCAGTGAGCAAAATTATTTTAATAAGGCAGTACCAGCAGGATTCACTTCCACTGTCCATGGGAAAAAATGGTTAGGTGGCCTGTTACGGAACTGGATCTCAGCTAAAGTCATCCCCTGTCCCGGCCACCTCACCATGCTCATAACTCATAAGAACTTCCCCAGGAGTTGTTAAAATCATAGTTTTGTGTTTCCATAAAATGATAAATCATGTTATCTTAAGGTTTTGGTACTGAGAAAGGCTTTAGAGATGAACTTGTCTCACACCTTTATTTTATAGATGATTCAAAGGAGAAAAAAGAAACTCCAACACAAATCCCATTGTGGCAGAACAAGGAATGGACAAGTCATTTGCTGAATCCAAGTCATTTGCTGCAGTTTGTGACCTAGATAAGAATGAAACCCTGGGGAGCTGATTCTGGACAAGGAGAGAGGTTGTAGAGCAGTCTTGCTATTTATGGGCCCTCAAATATCGAAGACACTCTCTGACCCACAGAACGGCAATGAGACGCAGAACTAAGAAAATGACAGATAATTTATCTTCCCCCTAATCTCCCCTGTTCATGCTTTTCTTCCTTTTAAAGGTGCAGTTCTTTGATGTTCTGCTCTTTACACATTTCCTGGATGATTTTACTCCTAACATGGTAGAAAATTCAATATTCCTGTGGGTATTTCCACAGGGTGATGTTTTCAGAGGATTTTTCCTGGCTTGCTGATTGGAGAACACCCTATCCCAAGTCCTCCATATCTGTCAAGGAGTTGATGTCCTGACTGGCTAGCTGGGATCCATTTGCAATAGGAGTAAGTGCTGGGACTAGCAAAGGTCTGGAGTTGTTTACACATTTACCACTTCTTTCAGGAAGGGGCAGAGAGTGACAGTGTAGCTATCCTGGTCCTTGGGCCTTGCTGGCCTCAGCAAGAAAACAGGAGATATCAGAGATCTTCAGAGAGTCAAAGCAAATGTTTCATACTTACTAGGGACACACTCTTACTGAGAGACAGTGGAGAACAAAAGAAAGAACTTACCAAATTGTCCACTGATAGGAGCTGCAAAAAAAATAAAGAGGCAGAGATGAGCACAGAGTGGGATTCTTTGGCTTTTCAAAAGCCTGTTTTATTTTTTTCCCATCCACTTATTATTTCTTTCATTAAAAATTATTTTTAAAAATTTAATAGTCATTTGTCAAATGTCTATATATACTAGTCATCAGGTTTGGGCTTATAACATGAATAAAAAGTGATTATTTACTACCAAGAAGTTGATTGGTAGGGGAAATAGAAATATGAAACAAAATAATTATAATACAGGGTATAAATGCAGTAACAGAAATGCACATGGGGTTTCTTGAGGGCAGAAGGGCCAGCCATTCCAGGGTATAGGGTGTGAGTGTGTGGTGTAGAGGGTGGGTAGAACATGAATGCTACCTGAGGAAGTGATGCTTGAGAATATTGTAAATGAGAACATAGGAGTCAGCCAGGCAAAGGTGTTTTGTGTGGCAAGAGATGATGGGGAGGGAAATCTAGGTGGAAAGGACACAGAAGTGGAGAAATAGCATTGGTATTCAGGAGTTGAGAGGCATTATGGAGGTTGCAAGTGTGGCAGAAATCAGATTCGTGACGCTGTAGGGCCCAAGTCAAGAGTGGTAAGTAGCTATGATTTTATTATGAAGGCAATGGAAAACCATGGAAAGGTTTCAAGTAGGAGAATGACAAGATTAGAAATTTTAACTCAGGTGGAGCATTTGGTCAGTGCGTAGACTTTAGTGAGACCAGATATGAAGTAGAGAGCCCTGGTTAGAAGTCAGGGCAAGAGATAATGATGTTTAATTTTCTTTAGACTGTTTATCCAAAATTATCTTAATTATTTGCTTGTTTACTTTGTTTACTTTCCCTTCACTAGCTAGAAGATCTGTGAGAGCAGGGACTTTTCATGTTCATGATCTATCCCCCAGGACCTATAACACTGTCTGTCACATAAGAGATATTCCATTAAGATTTATTGAATATTTATTTATTGAGTCATGAATTAATTAAAGAATTAGGTCAGTAAGCAGAGTAAATAGGAGGATACAATAAATGGATAGTGGGAAGACAGAAGAGGCAAAATTGACAAGTTTATAAATTGATCAGACATTTCATAGAAGGGACAGATTTGGTTTATCATTCAACAGAAATGTTTGAAGTGCTGCCCCTTGCCAGGGGCTGGACAAGACAACAGAAATCAAGCAGTGAGTGAGTTATCATCCTTCTTTACATGGGGCTGATGGAGGAGTAATGCAAATCTGTATGTTTTATAGAGAACAATGGATTATTTGCCTTTTCCTAAATAACATGGTCAACATGGATTTTGTTCTGTTTTAAATGTAGCCAATATTCTTCTGAGTGTTTTTTATGTGGCAGACATTCACATGTATTAGTTAACATAATTTTGTCAATATCCCTATGAGGTAAGTTCTGTGAGTAGTCCCATTGTATAGACCAGTAAGTGGTTAAGTAGCTAGGAGGTATCAGAATGGAGTTTTGAACCCATTTGTTGGATCCTACCCTATTTGACCCCAAAGCACTGGCCATTACCCTATCCTGCCCCTCTGTGTTCGTGCCACACTGGGATGTGCTTCATATTTCTGGAGTGTTTCATGCAGCTTCCAACTGTGGGTTCCTTTTCCCTTGCATTGTGCCCTGTGCCATCCATCCCCTCTCCAGCTCTTACTCTCCATCTGTTTCATGAAGTCATTACCAGCTACCTGGCGTATAGTTTATTTGCTTGCATCATCATTGGTAACTTTGCCCAGGTAATTATTTAACTAGAATCTTGCTACATAGATATTTCTTGTACATTGACTTTGTTAGAGGCCCTTTTATATCATGAGCTTCCTGAACACAGAAATGCTGACTGACTTCCATGGTTTCCCATCATTCCCAGCACCTAATGCAGTACTATGTATTAATGTTACTGAAAAACCTGTTAAACAAACAAATAAATATATTTCATTGTAGTATTTTCAACTTTGGCAAAAACCAACCAGTTTGTATGATGAATTGGTAGAGACATAAACCACCCACAGGCACGACTACAATGTCATGGGCCAGGAGAGACATGAGCAAGGTGGAGGAATAGGTTGTCTCCAGCCTGTGCCCCCCACAAACTAGTCTGTAAATATTGGAAGAGGTTTATTCTTCTAAAGACAGACACCAATACAAAGCTACACAGGTCATGAATAGGCAGGCAAACATGACATTGTCAATGTACACCAATAAAGCCCTATAACTGACCCTAAAGAAATGGAGATACATGAACTTGAAAAGAATTAAAAATAATAGTCTTAAAGAAGCTCAGTGAGTTATAAAAGAACACAGACACCTAAATGAAATCAGGAAAAAATATAGATACATGAGGAGTTTAATGAAGAAATAAAAGAAATAAAAAGCAGAAATCTTGGAGCTAAAGAATATAATGAACTGAAAAAAGAATTCAATAGGAACCTTCAATAGCATAATTGATTATGCAAGAAAAAGAATCAGCACACTCAAAAACAGGTGATTTGAAATTATCCAGAGGAACAGAAACAAGAAAAGAATGCAAAAGAGTAAAGAAAGCTTAAGTGACTTATAAGACACCATTAAATGAACCAATGTACATATTACTGGAGTCTCAGAAGAAGCAGATAATATGGGAAGATTATTTTAAAGAAGTAATGACAGGAAACTCCCCAAATTTGAGGAGGGAAATGTACATGCAGATCCATGATCCCCAAAGAACCTCAGATAGTCAGAAGATCAGAGAGTCTAAGCCAAGACAAATTATAATGAAAATTTTCAAAAGTGTAAGACAAAGAGAATTTTGAAATTAGTAAGAGAAAAATGACTTATTAAGCAGTCTCATGCAAAGGAACCTCCCTAAGACTAACAGTGGATTTCTTCAGAAAGAGTGCAGATTAGGAGAGAGTAGGATGATATATTTGAAAGAAAAAGAAAGAAAGAGAAAAAAAAGAAAGAAAGAAAGAAAGAAAGAGAGGAAGGAAGGAAGAAAGAAAGAGAGGAAGGAAGGAAGGAAAGATGGAAGGGAAGAAGGGAAAGAAAGAAAGAAAAGAAAAGAAATCCTGCCAACCAAAAATACTATACTTGACGGTTTATTTGGGATTATTCTTGTTTCTTTAGATAGGCCTGTACTGCTATGTACTTTCCTCTTAGAACTGCCTTCACTACATCCCACAGATTTTGGGCTGTTGAGTTTCTGTTTTCACTTGTCTCCATGTATTGCTTGATTTCTGTTTTAATTTGGTGGTTGATCCATTGATTATTTAGAAGCATATTGTTTAGCCTCAATTTGTTTGTAGGCTTTTTTGTTCTCTTTATGTAATTTATTTTTAGTTTCATACCACTGTGGTCTGAGATGATGCTTGATACAATTTCAGTCTTTTTTAATTTATTGAGGCTCTTTTTGTGGCTTAGTATATGATCTATTCTGGGAAACATTCCATGTACACTTGAGAAAAATACCACTCACATCAATAGACGAATCAACCAGACAGAAAATAAGTGAGGAAACAAAGGCACTGAACAATACATTAGATCAGATGGACTTAGCAGATATCTACAGAACACTCCACCACAAGCAGCAGGATAATTGGTAATTAATTGGTCTACTACCTTTATGGTGGGTTTATTTTCACTGATGAAAGCTATTTGGCCTTAGGAACATTTCCATCTACAACAGTCCTTTTAATATATCCTGGAGGGATGGCTTAGTGGTGGTGAATTCCTTCAACTTTTGTTTATCCAAAAATTGTTTAATCCCTACTTCAAATTTAAATGATAATCTTGTGGGATAAAGGATTCTTGGTTGGAGGTCCTTCTGTTTAATTACATTAAATATATCATGCCACTCCCTTCTGGCCTATAAAGTTTCTGCTGAGAAGTCTGCTGATAGCCTAATGGGATTTCCATTATAAGTAATCTTTTGTCTCTCTCTCTGGCTGCTTTCAATAATCTCTCCTTATCCTTGATCTTTGTCATTTTAATTATTATATGTCTTGCTATTATCTTCCTGGGGTTCCTTTTGTTAGGGGCTCTCTGTGCTTCCATGTCCTAAGTGTCTTTTTCCTTCCCCAGATTGGGGATGTTTTCAACAATCATTTCCGCAGAGTCTTTCTATCCCTTTGTCTCTCTTTTCTCCTTCTGGTATTCCTATTATGTGAATATTGCTCTCCATTTGGAATGGTTACACAGCTCTCTTATTCTTCTTTCATTCCTAGAGATCATTTTTTCTCTCTGTTCTTCAGCTTCATTGCGTTCCTGTTCCCTAGTTTCCATTTCATTGACAGTTTCTTTTACCTGCAATAATCTACTCTTAAATCCCTTCATTGTATGTTTCATTTCAGATACTGTATTCTTCAGCTCTTAGTGGCTTTTTTTCAGGTCTTCTATCTCTTTGTTGAAGCCCTCCCTGAGATCTCGAATATTTTTCTGTAGATCTGTGAGCATGTTCACGACTTTTACTTTGAAATCTTTATCAAGAAGATTGGGGATCTCCATTTTATTTAGGCCTCTTTCTGGTGTCTTGTCTTGTAGTTTTGTTTGGAACATATTCCTCTGTCTCCTCATTTTTTCAGGGTTTCTGTGTTTGTTCCTTTGTATTAGATGGCTCTGCTATGCTTCCTGGCTTATGCAGTACTCGCTTTATGAAGGAGGCGTCCTTTCATGCCCAGACACTCAAGACTCTTACTCTCCAGTGCAGGAGCACCAGCTGTTGGTATACAGTGAGCAGGGCCACCTTTTGTTTGTCTTCTGTAGTGTTCTGAGTCTGGGCCAACAGTTTGCTTCAGCCACACTTTTGTGATCAGCACGGAAGTCTCTTCTGTGATCACTGTGGGTAGGGCCACCCTCCACCTGGCCTGCAGCAATGACAGAGCTGCAGGATTAATAGGGTGAGTGGGCTGATGTGCGGCTCTGCACTTTTGTGATCAGCACAGAAGTCTCTTCTGTGATCACAGCACTGGGCTTGGACACCCATGGGGAGTAAGGAGCTCTTGGTGCTGGCTCCTTGC